GTATTTTGAAAGCTGAGAAAAATGCTGATACCTGGGTTCTAACCCCAGAAATCCTGGGTGGAACCCCCAGGATTATCCTGGAAGGCAGACTGGGGCATGAGAGTTTTAGAAACATCTTAGATGAGTCCAGTGTGCAGCCCAGCATTCCAAGAACCATTGGTTTAGACCCAATATCTGGGGATGAGAGTGGATTGGGTGAAGAATACATATTGGATTATAAACTACTATAACCACTGAGTATTGTTAAATTTTCAATGAAAGATTTAAAAGACGTCTGTGCTCATAAAAATGCACACATGGGTTTGCAATCTAGTTTGGAAGAACCCATATTTGTAGGGTGAATAATTGTCAGATAAATGTGGCCCATATTATGAGAACAAATTGGTGCATCCAAAGCCAACCCAAACCATTTGTAAAAATAGTTATGACAACGCACATGCAGAATTTATTTTGACCTTAGCAAAGCATAATAAAAACTAAGTAGTGATGACAGTGAAGGAGCTCATGACATACCACTCTAAATTATGCTGCTTTAGCATATCAATTATTTTGAACTAAAGGTGCTTGAAAAACAGCAGGTGCAAGAAAACTGCTCTGATCTCTTTTTTTCTTGAAATCAGATGAAGCTCCCATGTGAAAGATACCCTCTTCATACCAGAGATGGAGAGTCAAGGCTGAGGAAAATTTGCACACACAAACTTTGTCAAACTAACTCCTCTTTCTAGTTGCTTTCTTATACTTGCTACTCTTTGTTCAGACAGGTATAACAGTACTTAAGCCTAGTCATTTCTTTTGGAAGTGGTGGTAGTGAGTCTTCACTTTTCTTGTGGGGATCCCATGTATATGTAAATAAAACTTGCAGCTTTTCTCCTGTTCTTCTATCTTATGTTAGTTCCAGCCAAAAACCTTAAGAAAATAGAGGAAAAACTTTCCTGCCTTACAATAGTAAATAATATTAATGAATCTTTGAAGAAAAATATGCAAAAATACTATTTTTTGGCAGTATTGGGGTTTGAACTCAGGGCGTCATGCTGCTAGGCAAGCACTCTACCACTTGAGCCACTCCACCAGCCCAAAAATACTATTAAATTTTGGAAACAACTTTTAAAGTGTTTCTGGTATCAAGTTTCACGGAAATTTGCTTCAGGATAGCTGCTTCAGGATTTTTCAAATTCATTCTATGAAAGTCATTAACTTCTTAAGAATTTTTAAGTGCATATTTTTAAAATATTTAAAAAGCTTTCCCTGGTTTAAAGAGATGCATGTATATGAACCAGAATACCCCAGTCAGAATGCCTTAGAAATGCAGATACTTTGATTTGCTCCATTTTTCATCTTTCATGATTTCTTTAAGTTGGACATAAGGGTATTTTTATTCTTACACAGGCTGCACCCACCCTCCATACTGGCATACAATATCCACATGGTCACTATCATGTTTGATAGAACAGTGGTTCTCAATCTTGGCTACATATTAGAATTATCTAGGGGGACTTCTGACCCCTCCTTCCACTATTATCTCCATAAATTGAAACATAATCGTTAAGGTTTAGGGTCTAAGCAACTGTATATTTTTCAGTTTACCAGCTGATTCAGATGTACAGTGAGGACTGAGAATTATTAGTACAAAGAGAAAAAAAGGTTAGATAACAGGGACTGTATCTTTCTTGGCTTATTTTTAAATTCTCCTCCCATAAATCTAATCTAAAATGCTTAATCTACCTCCTGGAAGAGGGTAAGCATTTCAGAGCTTGGCTCAAATGGGTTTTGCAAATAGAGGTAAAGCTTTATGGAGTCTCAGAAGTCTGGTGTAAATGCTTGTGGAATCAACTGGCTCTCTACTGAGGTTTCTGAGGAAGTACCTCATAGCCCTTTGCACTCCAGGTAAAGAGAGCCTTCTGACAGCTGTTTTTACATGTTTGGTGGCTAGAAACTATGAAGGATAGAAAATAATCACTAATGTAAAGATCATAAAAAGTGTTTTTTTTTTTAAAGAAGTGACAAAACAAGAGGTGGGTCAATAATCTTTGTGTCTAATCCAGATTCTACAGCAGTTAAATTTTTGCCCACTGCAAATAATATGTAAGGCCCACCCAAGATCCTTCCAGCACACCCTTGGTAGTTACGGTAGTGTAACAGGTTAGCCCAAATGTACTGAGTTCATTTTGAATTACCATTCAGGAATCAGCAATAGAAGTGGCCAAAGTCATAGCTCTGGAAAAAGAAATGCTAAGCATTGAAGAAAAAAAAAAAGGCCATAAGAGGAGGGACATGTTAAGAGTAGAAAGAGCATGACAATTGAGCCAGAAGCCTGATTTTGCAACTATTTGGCTCTGTGATCTTGGGTGCTGTGGCTCATGCTTGTAAACCTACCTACTAAGTAGGCAGAGATATGAGAACTGTGATTTGAGGCCAGCCTGGCCAAAAGGTTTGTAAGACCCCCAGATCAACCAGTAAAAGCAGGGCATGGTGACATGTGCCTGTCATCCCAGCTTCATGGGAAGTTAAAGAGGAAGATGAGGTCTGGAACAGCCTGGGCATAAATGTGAGGCCCTAACCCAAGAATTTAACCAAAGCAAAAGGGCTGGTGGTATTGTTCAAGTGGTAGAGCACCTTCCTAGCAAGCACAAGGCCCTGAATTCAAACTGTAGCACCATCACGACCATTAAAAAAATGTTATGGCTACAGAAAAGCAAATGTTCTCTAGAACTGAATATATTTAATTCCTAATGCCACAGAATATTTCAAATAATAAAAACATTGCACATCTTTAAGATATCTGACATTTTCTTTGATGTCAAAGTATTTAAAAGAAAAAGATGGGTTTTAGTTCAAATATAGAAATCAAGCTCACTGTATTGTACAAATTTTATAGCTCCAGTACTTTTGGTGAGTCTTCTTTAAATTGGCCTTAACAACTTAGGGGTTACTTTTTCTTGAGAAATGTTATCTCAATTTGTAAATGCATGGTTAAATGGTTTCTAAAGCCACCTTGATAATCACAGGGCTAGTTTTCCTGACACTACTAAAGATTGGTATGCATTTTGGATACCTGGTTGTGGTTTCAACTGCCAGCTATCAAAGAAGTACCTCTATAGTTGACAAAGAGAAGATAAAAAAGAGAAAGAAAGGGGGTTTGGAAAGAAGATAGATTTTTTCATTTCTTATCTTGTGATGCATTCTACTGCAGTAAACACCACTATCTCTTAAATAAACCTTTTGTAGGCAGGGAAAGAAAACACTCCAAGAGAATGCTTTATAAACTGGAGATGTTCTTCCTATTCTAAGTGGCTTTGTCCTTTTAGAAAGTCTGTATGACCTCTCCTTGTATTAAATAAGACAAGATTTAAGGACTGATGATTTGATTTGGTGATCTGGTTACAGAAACGTCTCTGGCATCTGTTACTTCCACTCTGCTATTCATTATTTCTGTTCTGTTAATGGCAGTAGACATTTGACTAACTGCTGAGATTTGTACATGAAGGGGATTCAAGGTGGGGTGTGAAGTAAATCACGTAGTTAAATCTCCATTATATCTTTACTTCACAGGTTTCTCTGTTTCCAAATGTCTGGTAGATGGCAGTTGGAGGCCTTCACCTCAGGGGCAGGAGAGGCTCTAATTATTTCAAGAATAATTGGAGGAAAACACACATTATAGTAGTCTGTCAATAAAATCCCTGAACTAAAGGATGGTTTATCATTTGGGGGAAAGATAAAAAGACAAAGCTCTCCTTTTCCAACAAAGACATACATGTTTAGATAAACTAAAAGAAGAGAATGTTATAATTTCTATATAATTACAAAACTCATAATTTATGCACAACATAGCATAGAACAGGGACTACCTTATGCATATTCATAGCTAGAGTTGTAAGCAAAAATTCCAAGTAAAAAGACAAAAATCTGACTGGGTGTAGTAGCTCATACCTTTAATCTCAGCTACTTGAGAGACAGAGATCTTGAGAATTGCAGTTCAAGGCCAGGCTGAGCAAAAAAGTGAGACCTCTTCTATCTCAACCAATAAACTGGGTGTGGTAGCACATATGTGTGCTCCCAACTACTTGGGAGGCTGTAGATAGTTGGATCCCAGTCCAGGCCAAACTGGGCAAACATATGAGACCTTATCTAATAAATTTATCTTTTTAAATTTATTAAGTTATATAGTAACTTATTATAAATTTAATAAGTTATATAGTAAGTTATTAGGTTACATAAATAAACCTAAAAAGTAACAGGGGCTGAGGGCATGACTCAGGTAGCAAAGCATTTGCCTAACAAGTGCATGACCCTGAGTCAAACCTCAGTACTGCCAAAAACAAAAACAAGACAAAAATCCAATTTTCTTAGTAATCAGTATGTTATAACATCTAATAAAAGATTTTTTAAAAAATGTACCTTAGAGACTACCATTTACTATATGCAAAAATATCAGAAAATAGTCATTTGAAATACACTTTTATATTTCATTTCCTGACTTACTTCTTAATCCATCCAGGTCTTAAAGAAGAAATGGAACTTTCTTCTAAATGGTATTTTACAGAATCATGTTGTAGACAAAGGTAATTGTAAGGAACATCTAATAGTTCAGGCGATTGAGACCCCAAGGAGTAAATGAACATCTTGACCTGCAGTTGTAGATGGTCAGGAATGAAACCCTAGTGTTTTCATTCTCCATTCAGTGCTTATTACTCCCTCCTGGAAACATTAGAAAGCTTTCACACTTAAAATTTGTCAGTATTCACAGAGAAGTACAATCAATTATGGAAAATTAAAGTAGTAAGTGAAGAGAAATGTTGATTATAAAACTACTCCATCAACCAAATTATGGAAGAAAAAGTAGGCACTGAACAAAACTCATAACCAGAAAATAACCTTATTGTTTACTACTTATACTTCTAAAAAGGCTTAGACCAAACTAAGCTTTGGTCTTTGGACTTTGTTGAGACTCAGAAAGGACAAAAAAAAAAAAAAAACCCACCTCAACCAAACAAAACAACTAGAGGTATATAGTTAACAATTAGATTTATTGGGCAACACAGTCTATCCTTAGATGGATAAAACCTGTCTTTATTTGCTGACTAAGAAATAGTTGTGCTGTGGGCTAGCAATCCTGTACATATCAGTCACCAAGAAGTGGAGACACCTACTCCAGCTTGACTAATGCCAAGCTCTTTTCAACCATGCAAAACTGAAATATCAACTGCTATTTAATGTTACTTGCTTATATAAAAATGTCAGTGAAGCAATTTTTGCTTGAAGGCCAGACTTGGTGATTGTCATATGTAGAAATGATTCAGTTCACACTAGATAGTCCTTACACATCTAAATGAACTGTAAAGTTGCTCAAACACATTAGCTGTTATAATTTTAAGTGTACAAGTTCAACAAGAAGCAAATATAAAAATGCCAAAGTTAAAGGCAAATAAAAAAGAGTGAAATATAGGATAAGGAATCTTGATGACAGCCATTGTCAGCTATAACTATATATTCCATCCTATTATCTCGTAAATCAAAGCTTTTAACAGTCTGGACTCATACGTGACTGTGTTCTTCCCAGTATGCATTCTTTCTTCTTCTAGGGGCTGCTCTATAACAGCAGGTATATTTCTGCCATGAAGTTCACAATGTTCTAGAAACTGGACACATTCTCGAATAACATTGTCACGAAGCATGATTGTATGTTTTGACATATTTTCTAGTAGGGACAGGAAGCACCTTTTGGCATAATACCAGGTATCAGTTCCTAGCTTTTTATTATAAGGTTCTAAGCTTTTGATAACTCGAGAAATACCAAAGTCATAATTTCCTTTGGCACAATAAAGTGTTCCTATCACCAAATTCACAATGCAGAGATGGTAGATTTTCTTATCTGGGTCATCATATGAGAGCTGCTCCTCCTCCTTTTCAATCTTCCTCATCAATTCCTCAGCTTCTTCATTTTGACTTGTCATGATATAGGAAACACAGAGGTTGGCTAACACAATAGCACTGACGTTCAGGATGTTATCATAATGCTTCTTCACTATGGGCTCATAGAAGCCAATGGCTTCTTTGTATTTGTTTTCCTGCATGAAAAGAACATGCGCCACATTCAACTTCCACACATCGTGGTCATTACAGAATTCCACAGATTTGCGGAAGATCTTCTCCACCACTGGGTAATTTTCAAGGTTCCAGTAGATTTTTGCCTGGGCCATCAACACAGGAATGTACTTCTCAAGGGCATCATCATATTCATTCACTGACTTTTTGACAGCTTCATCATCTCTGTTGTGTCTTGCTTCCTGTACTTGTTTGGTGAGTTTCCGGAGCTGTTCAGTCAGCATCCCTGCTAGCCCATCAAACTTAATGAAAGCCTCTTCAGGAGCTGTCTGGCAAGTGATCATTGCATCCAAGAAGTCATAGAGATAGGGTGTGAGGAACTTATAAGTCAAATGGGCATTTTCTGCCAGGACATCAGCAGCCAGGTCAAAATACTCATACTTACAGTAGAGCAACAAGAGGTTGCCAAAGGTCTCTGGGGGAAAGGGGTTCTGCTGGAGCAAGAACTGGAGCTTTTCAAAGCCCTCTGTGGGCCTGGCATCCATGTTCATCAGTGCCTGGTTATGCAGGGTCACCGGGTCCAACTCTTCCTCTGCCCTAGGGGGCATGTCAGTGAGAGCTTCCTGAGCAGCCTCAAAGTTTCTCAGCTGGTATTCTATGGCTGCCTTCAGGTTGAAAGCTTCCACCAGAGCAGTCTGGTGGAGGACCGAGGTGTTGCCCACACTGTGGACATCAATGCCCTCCGTGGTCATGCCCACACCTAGCTCTGGGTGCTGGCGGATGCCACGTTCAATAATGTTGGCGATATGTTTCAAAGCAGGAGCATAGTGCCTATTGCTGTAACAGGCCAAAGCCAGGTTGTAGGACACATCAGGCTGGTAGCCCGAGGCCTGCAGAGCTGCAAAAAACTTGGAACCCGCAGCCTCATAGTGTCCCTCCTTGTAGAGCAAACACCCCAGGTTGACCTGACCATCGGGGTCATTCTCGCCCCCACCTTCTTCTTCTGCTTCCCCACTCAGCAGCTGCTCCACCAGGCTCCTGGCCCCTGGCAGATCGCCCTCACTGTACTTGATGGCTGCCTGCAGGCGGAGGACCCGGTTGTGGAAGGCGGGGTTGTCCAGGAGGAGGAAGGCGACCCGCGTGGCCTCTGGATAGAGGCAGGCCTTGTAGAGCGCCTGGGCCTGGTACAGGCGGTACTGCTCGAGCTCGGGGTGCAGCTGGCCCAGCTGTTCGTAGCACTCGGCGGCCAGCGCGAACTCCTGCAGGCGGTAGTAGCAGTAGCCGAGCAGCGACAGGCCGGCGCGGCTCCTCGGGCTGTGCTGCAGCTCTGCGCCCAGCAGCTGCACCGCGTCGGCGAAGCGGGCGTCGCGGATGAGCCGGTACACCACCGCCGTGACCTCTCCGTCGGGAATCTGCGAGCCGCTCAGTGGCGCCATAACCGCAGAGGTTGTGGTGCGTGCTCGTTTCCAAGGCAACAAGACAACCGGAAACGGAAGTGTGTGAAAGAAAAAAAGTTCTTTCCGGTTTCCGGAAGTTACTTTGTAGCAGAAGGAATCTTCTAGTATTGGGAAGGAAGTGCTGGAGTTGAGGCCGTGTAGTACACGTTTGCTGCACTTCAGCAAATGGAAGAGTTCCGCACAGAACCTTGCAGATTCTCAGAGTGGTAACTATACCTCCAAAGACGAGAGTAAGAAGAATCACATGGGGAACACTTCATGGGGAACCTGTGTAGCTAAGTGTTTCCTTCTGGAAGGATAAAAATCAAAAAGCAAAAATATCTTTATAGCAGAAATATCTACTTCTCTGATGAAAGTTATCAGCCTGAACCATAAGAAATTGTTTTGAAAGTGTTCTTTTTCAATTCGTTACATTGAGGTGTACATAGTGAGGGGTTTCATCATGACACTTTGATGCGTGCGTGTTGTGGACCTTGCTCATGTTCACTCTGCTATTACTCTTTCTTATTCTATTTCCTCCCTCACCCTTTTCCCTATTAGACCTTCCTGGTAGTTGCCTTTTTACTTTTATGATCTTGTTGTTTTGCTTTGTGGCCCCCCTTACAATTCCACAAATGGAAGGAAACACATGATATGTATCTTCATGAGGCTGTCTGATATCGCCTAACACTGAAGACCTCCAGTTCTACCCATTTTCCAGTATTGACCTAATTTCAGTGTCCTTAATGACTGAGTAAAACTCCACTGTGTAGATACACCACATTTTCTTTATCCATTCATCTGTTGATAGGCACCAATGTGGATTACATGATTTGGCTACTGTGAGTAGTGCTGTAATAAACATTGGTTCACCATATCTGTATGCTAAGCAGGCTTTTTATTCTTTGGGAATGAACAAGTGCTATTGCTAGACTCTATGATAGTTCTATTTTTAATATGTTGAGAAACCTCCACACTGATGTCCACTGTAGCTAGACTGCTTTATTATTCTCACCAATAGTGAATGAGAGTTTCTTTTCCCTCACATCCTTCCCAGCATTTATTCTTATTTGTTTTCTTGATGATAGTCTTTTGTATGTATGTATTTTGGTGATACTGGGGTTTGAACTTAGGATCTTATACTTGCTAGACAAGTGCTCTACCATTTGAGCCACTCCCCAGCCTTTTTTGCCTTAGTTATTTTTCAGATAGGGTCTCAAGCTTCTGTCTGGGGACAACCTTGGACCATGATCCTCTTACCTCTTCCTGTAGTGTAACTGGTATCACAGATGTGCACCTCCCCTCCCCAGCTTGTTCTTTGAGATAGTGTCTCACTGTTTTTGGTCAAGGCTGGCCTCCAACTGAGATCCTTCTATCTCTGCCTCCAAGTAATTGGCACCCAGTCTTAATGTAATTTTGATTTCCATTTCCCTGATGGTTAAAAATACTCAACATTTTTTCATGTATTTATTGGCCATTTGTACTTCTTTATTTGAAAAGTGTTTGTTTAATTCATTTGTTGCTTGGATTATTTGGTTTTTTGGTGCTTAACTGTTCAAGTTCTTTATATATTTGGGATGTTAATCCTATGTGGATGAATACCTGGCAAAGATTTTATCTATTATGTAGGCTGTCTCTTCACTGTCAGTCGTTTATTTTGCTATGCAGAAGCTTTTCAGTTAGATACAAGTACATTGGTCCATTGTTGTTTTCATTTACTTAGCTATTGGAGTCCTGTTCAGAAAGTCCTTGCCTATGCCTATATCTTCAAGTGTTTCCCCTATGTTTTCCTTTAGCTTTCTGTCTTACGTTAAAGTGTTTGATCTATTTTGAATTGATTTTTGTACAAGAGATAAGAATCTAGTTTCAGTCTTCTACATGTGGATATCCAGTTTCCAACACCACTTATCAAAGAGGCTATCTTTTTCTGAATATATGGTTTTGGCACTTTTATCAAGAATAAAATGGCAGTACTTGATTGGGCTTATTTCTGTTCTATTTGTTTCCATATAGCTATGTGTTTGTTTTTGTGCCAGTACCATGATGTTTTTGTTGCTATGGTGCTGCAGTATAAGTTGAAGAAAAGGATTGTGATACTTCTAATATTACTCTTTTTCCTCAGGATTACTTTTGCTATTCAGGGTCTTTATTATGTTTCCATATGAATTTTAGGATTGATTTTTCTATTTCTGTAAAGAATGACATTGGAATTTTGATGGGAATTTATAGAATCTACAGATTGCTTCTGACACTATAGCCATTTTCACAATATTAATGCAGAGAATCCACAAATATTGGAGGTCTTTCCATTTTCTAAAGTTTCTTTCTTGAAGGTTTTATAGGTCTCGTTGTAGAGGTCTTTCACCTCCTTAGTTAAGTTTATTCCATGGTATTTTTTTTAAAGCTATTGTGAATGAAATTGTTTTCCTGTTTTGTTTTTCAACAAGTTTTTTGTTGTATAGAAAAACTGATTTTTTTGTATGTGGATTTTGTATCCTGCTACTTTGCTGAAAGTATTTTTCTGCTGTAGGGTTTTTCTAAATGAGTCTTTAGGGTCTTTTAAGTATATTATTTTATTCTCTCCTTTGCCTTGTTGCTCTGGCTAATAATTCAAGCACTACATTAACATTGAATAAGAGTGATAACAGTGGACATCCTTGTCTCATTTCTAATTTCAGAAGAAATGCTTTCCATTTCCCCCCATTCAGTATAATGCTGGGCTTAGGTCTGTTATATATAACCTTTACTTTGTTGAGGTATGAACATTTTACTCCTAGTTTCTTGAGGGCTTTTGGATTTCACCAAAGGCTTTTTGGGTATTTATTGAAATAATTATGTAGTTATTTTCCTTGCTTCTCTTTATATGCTGCATTACGTTTATTGACTCACATATGTTGAACCATCCTTGTATTCCTGGAATGAAGCCAATTTGGTCATGATGTATACTCCTAGTTTCTTAAGGGCTTTTGGATTTCACCAAAGGCTTTTTGGGTATTTATTGAAATAATTATGTAGTAATTTTCCTTGCTTCTCTTTATACGCTGCATTACATTTATTGACTCACATATGTTGAACCATCCTTGTATTCCATGAATGAAGCCAATTTGGTCATGATGTAGGATCTTTTTAATTTGTGTTGAGTTCAGTTTGCAAGTATTTTACTGAGTATTTTTGTGTCCATGCTTATCAAGGAAATTGGACTACAGTTTTCCCTTTTTTTGTTGTGTCTTTGTGTGGATTTGCTATCAGGGTAATGCTGGCCACATAGAATGTGTTTGGAAGTGTAGGTGGCCTTTGTATTTGTGGAATAGTTTGGGGATCATTGATGTTATTTCTTCTTTCAAGTCTGGTAGAAATCAGCAGTGAATCCATCTGGTCCTGAGCTTTCTTTTTTTGGGAGAATCCTTATTACTGCTTCAGTCTCATTGCTCATTGTTGATCCATTTAAGTGATTTGAATCATCTTGATTCAATTTTGATAGGTTTTATGTGTCTACAAACTTATCCATTTCTTCCAGGTAACAATTTACAAGAGTATAAGTTTTAAAATGTTCTTAAAGATTCTCCGAATTTTGGTGGTATCTGTTATAATGTTACCTTTTTTCATTTCTAATTTTATTAATGTGGGTTCTTTCCTTCTTTCTTTTGATTAGTTTGGCTAAGAGTTTCTCAATCTTGTTTATTTTTTCAACGAGCCAACTGTTTTTATTGATCCTTTTTATTTTTCTTTTAGTTTCCATTTTATTAATTTCAGAGGTGATTGTTTATTATTTCTTTCATTTTACTGATTCTGGGATTGGCTTGTTATTTTTCTAAGACCTTGAGGTTCATCTTTAGGTTATTTATTTGAGAGCTCTGTTTGTTTGTTTCTTTGTTTTTTAATGTAGGCATTTACAGCTATAATCTTCCCTCAGAACTGCATTTATTGTGTCTCATAGATTCTAGAATGTGATTTTTTCATTTTAATTTGATTTTAAGAGTTTTTTTTAATTCACCCTTACTTCTTTGATGACCCACTTATCATTCAGAAGTGTATTGTTCAATCTATGTGTTTGTAGATTTTCTATAATTTCTCTTGCTGTTGATTTCTAGTTTTATTTTATTGTGGTCTGTTACAAGAATTTATTTCAATTTTCTTGTGTTTGTTAAGACTTTGTTATATCCTAAAATATTATCTATTTTGAAGGAAGTTTTGTGGGCTGATGAGAAGAATGTATAGTCTGAGGGTGGAATATTCTGTTGGATGGAATAGTCTGTTGATGTCTGTTGAGTCTGTTTGAGCTATAGTGTCATTTAATTCTAAAGTTTCCTTGTTGATTTTTTTTTTTTGTCTGCATGACCTATCTATTTGTGAGAGTGCTGCACATTGGGCACCACTTGCCCATGACTTGCATGGGTGTGCTGCATGAACCTGACTAAGAGCTGCAGGAAGTGGGAAAAAAGACACACACAAACATACAAACATAAAACAGATAAGTGGGATCCGGAGAGGTACACGTTCCTGGTGGGAAACGTGAAAGCCTACCTGAGGCAGAGTGTTTATTTTATAGGTCAGTACAAGGAAAAGACTCAGGTAAAAATCAAGCTTCAACAATTCTTAGACCTAAGGTAAAAAGAATGAGGTCTGGTGGGCTAATTTTCTTAAGGCTATAGAAGCTTAATTACAACACATCTGTTCTGAAATCAAGGCATGCAGGACACCTTACCTAAGGTATTGATTAGTCTGGCATCGGAGTCTCCAAACAGTTCTAGTACTTTATCTAGTTTTGCATCAGGGGGCTGGTATGTGGCCACAGCAGTTTGTTTTCTTCAAGGAGATGCGGGAACAAAGGTCAAGACACCAGGTGCTGGGAAAAATATGGTGAGAGGCTTTGCAGGCTCTTACTATGGAGAGGCTCTGTAAGCTCCATTATTTCCCAGACATCTGGGAAATAATGTCTGGTCCCAAACATCTTCCCCTACTCTATTTCTTAAAAGCTCCAGATGCATTTCTATGTCTAATCCGAGGAGTTGCCTTTTGATCTTTTGAGCTCTGACTGAAAGTAAGCAAAACAA